CCCCAAAACCCCAAAACCCCAAAACCCCTGAAGAGGGGGTTACTTGATTTTAGATTTGTTTTTAACATTTGTTTTGGGGGTTCTTGCAAGGATTTTTTGGGTGGTTCTGATGAATCTCTGTGTTTTCTTTCATGAAGGTTGTCTTTGGAGAATCCCATATCAACGCCTGAGATGATAGATGATATATTTTCTAAACAAAATTCCATTTTTTTTAACCTCAGAAGTCCTTTAAATTCCGGTAGGATCTTATTCCCTCATTCCTGACTACTTCGATCCCATAAGTATACCTAGTTATTAACATTTTAATGTATTAAAAGATGACTTACTCTATTGACTAGGCTACTTGCATATTATAGGCAAAGATGAATTATCTGAATGAATTTTGGAGTTCCAGCCTTTATGAGATAGTTTGTAATTATTTTTTTATCATCCTGCTGATTTCTTTGTTCTTCTGGTAATCAACATTCATCTTTCTAATGCTGAAGTGAGAAGGCCTATTATTTTAGTCTTTCGTTGAGTGTTTGGTTGGATTTATTGAGTTAGTTGAGCTATGAGATGAGACTGAAGAGTTACTTCTCTACTTCTTCTTTGCTTATTACTAATAGCATGGCTTTCCTCTAATAAATTAAATAGTAATAAAAATTCGTTATCTACAATATTACCGATCTAAAATTTCATAAACCATAAAATTCCCAATATTTTTCACAGACCCAAAACTCAACTTAAAATCATCAAAATCGAACTTTCCAAAAACCATAACCAACTCCAAACAACACTAAACCCACTAAAACTCACCAACGTTCTCAAAACATTCCTCCTGTATTCCTCTTTCTTCAATCTGTCCAAAAAAGCTTTCTTTTCAACTTCTTTACTCCTCTAGCTCTATCTTTCAGAAAAGCTTTTGATTGAGCTATAATAATCATTAAGACCCCCTAATGACATACATTTTTTAATTATCTTCATAGCCATTTCTGACTGTGCCACTGGAGAATTTGGGTAACTTAAAGAAGCTAGTTCAAACCCACTAGCTATGATCGCAGACTCCTGAATATTCCTAATTAATTCCATTTCAATAATTTATACAAATTTTGGGGTTTTGGGGTTTTGGGGTTTTGGGGGTTTGGGG